AGAAGATGGCGGAAAGTAATTCACGTGATCAAGAAGATGGCGGAAAGTAGTTCACGTGATCAAGTAAATGGCGGGAAGTAATTCACGTGATCAAGAAGATGGCGGAAAGTAATTCACATGATCAAGAAGATAGCGGAAAGTAATTCATGTAATCAAGTATTGAAAACCAAAATAAGTATACTTACAGGGACGCCTTTCAGACCTTTGACGCCAGACAGTCCTACTCCACCTGCCGGTCCCTGACAATAAGCCAAACACAGTATCAGCGAATACGTTCGTCTATGATAATAAATACATTACGAATAGATACGTACCTTTGCTCCCATCTTTCCCAGTGGACCAGGCTTGCCTCGGGGACCCATGATACCCTGTTCAATTGACCAGTTAAAAATGCAACAATGGGTTAATGTAATATTACACTCATTCAGTGTAGTCAATGTCATGCGATCAATTTTACCTCGACGCCTGAATGTCCTGAAAATCCAATAGTTCCTGGAAAACCCATTACACCCTAAACATACAAACAGAGATAGTACCTTATATAACTACAATAATACATGTACTTACTTATGCCACTTGTAGACAGTATCTTACTGATAAACTCAGGATAAATAAAAGAAACTACAATACTGTTCAGAAAAGAGAATGTAAAAGCATACCTTCTCTCCCAGCTCGCCTGCCATTCCCATTGGACCGATTGCTCCAATCACACCCTGTAAGTGAATAATAATGTTAGTTTTGCTGTCATTGTTTAGCTATATATATATATTTATAAAGATTTACTTACCGTTAAACCTTTCATGCCAATTTCTCCAGGTTCACCTTTTGGGCCATCTGGACCCTAGAAAAAAATTAAATAATTAATAATAATAGCTAGTTATAACATTTAAACATATTATTTGATTGATCGATATTTCTAAATTTTAGTTGATATCCACCTGATCTCCTATCTCTCCCGTGAAGCCAACGCGACCTTTTGATCCGATGTCACCCTAATGGAAAAAATGGTGAGTAAATTGTTTTATACATGGGTATTGGTTTTCCCATTTTACAGTTTCTTACTTTATTACTGTTAAAAACGATGTAGGAAATAACAATAGAGTTCAGTTATCAAGTACCTTCGGTCCAGGTTTTCCAGGCATACCATCTTCGCCTACCGCTCCAATAAAACCCTATTCCAAAGACAAGAAATCTAATATTAATACCATGCGATTAATTCATTGTAAATCACTGTAGGGTAAAATGAATTTTCAGTAAGTCATTTTAAATTGTAACATAGATGCTATCTAATAGGATGTGCTTACATAGAGTGGTCAATAAAAAGAGAATTAAGTGAGGTAACTAAAGAGGTTCAGTTCTTACCTCTAGTCCTAGGGTGCCATTGAAGCCAATAGGACCAGTCGAACCAGCTGGACCCTAGATCATGGATCTACAGTCAATATTGATAGTCCAGAATTACAACGGTTGTCTGGCAATCACAGTACACACCGTTACCCAACTAGGAACCCCTATGCTTATCAACCGACTACTCAATCCATGGATTAATTGATCACTAAAGTGATTTTGTGGGAAATGCGGTATGATAATGACTAACAGCACATTCACAGTAAGACATACCATAACATTCAATTGGCTTCCCATTGTTTTTATGTGTACCATCATGTAATAGCGAACTACACCAATAATTTGCTGCATCGTTTCCTCCTCACTTTCGTTGGAGGGGGCGACTAATGCTTCATATGGGAGTGTTTCAATGACAAGTGGTCATGGGTCTACAGGGGCAAATCTAGGTTGGCTGCCCTTGGGTGCCTATGGCCTCCATGATCCCCCTAAGAGGCCCCCCCCTGTACGAATAGGGGCTGCCAGGATAGCATTCTATGTCGGTTTGAATTAGATTTTGTTTATATATTTATAGATTTTTTTTGTTGGAAATGATTTGTAAAATGAGTGTAAATTGCTCACCGGCTTTCCATCGGTTCCCATATCTCCAGGGTCTCCTCTTCTACCGATGATACCCTAAACAAGAAGAAAAAAGACATTAACTTGTACTATTAAGTTAGTCCTGAGCAATTTAAAGCTATTGAAAACGCGATTGCCTAAAGAGTATAGCTAATATTGTATTTTACTGAAACTTTAGCTCAGTTATATGATCTCGATGAATTTCTGAAAAACATAACCTAATTCTTGCCAAAAACTCTGCGCCTTCGTATCGCAGTAAATAAGAATTATAGATGAAACGTTTTCCCTTCCATGACCATAATTGGGACAGTAATATATAGTAATATATACAGTGAACAGATGCGCTATTATATTACCACTGGGCCAGTTTCTCCAGCCAAACCTTCCTCTCCTACGTCACCCTATGAAAAGAGTAAAATAGATTTTTAAAGAAGTACGGGAACATGCATATAAAATTATACATTTTCGTTTTCCTTTTACGCAACTTCATTAATAGGATAAATAAGACTAATACTCAAGAGCAAACAGCCGCAACGTTCATACCTCCCGTCCAGGAAACCCTGCTTCACCGGTTCGTCCAATCAAACCCTATAAAAGAACAATGTAGTGAAATGTTTTGGTTTGAAGGACATGAGTTTTATACTGCAAACGTCATCATAATTTTCACTTCTTCTTCATTGTCATCTCTACCATCATTATAACTGTCATCTTAGGATGAAATGTTTACCTGGAACCGTTTATTAGAAACGATGTTGTAACTTTACCTGCTTGCCTTCCTCGCCCTTCTCTCCTCGCTCTCCTTTTCTGCCTCTGGGTCCCTAAAAACATTACACAAATTGTTATCATCCTATTTATATTATCTGTAAATCAACTAATCAGGGACTTCTTTTACGCCTATATTCTTCACTTGCACGCTTGTACCGCGGCCATGTCGGTGGTATTTAACAAATTATTTGTTAGTACTTCTAGTAACATGATTCTCTAAGACACTGATGGATACTTACTACAACTCCCGTTTCTCCAGCCGTTCCAAGAACCCCTTCAAATCCAGGTGGTCCCTAGTATCATAATAAGAATGAAAAGAAATCAAAAACAGCATATGTAGTATCATCTTCATTTACGGTTTTGCTGCTGATTGAATATCTTACAGTTTATACTGGAAGAGGTATACTAACCATTATTCCTATTTTTCCATTGGTACCTTGGTCGCCAGGTTTCCCAGCAAGGCCCTGTTTGAACGAGAAGAGCAAATAGTCATTAACAATAAGAACCACTCGACCTGGTCCACTAAGACAGGCATTCCGGAAGACACTATGTGTCAAAGACTCAGACTATAAGATTGGGATGTGAAATTTGAGTTGTGCTGACAACAATGACATGATAATACAAATAATAAAGAAAGAAATCCTATGAATAAATACTTACGGCAGCCCCTGGATCACCAATCAAACCTTGAGTACCATTAAGACCACGAGGACCCTGTGAAATACACAAACACATGCATGCATCTGAGAAGTTAATATAAAAAGTGCGTATTGTTTGGATCAGTCTTAACTTGCGGGAAGGGGAAAAGGGGCCATGAAAACAAGGTCGAAAGTATCAGTTAACGTTATCACGTATTAGGTATAGTAATTGTGTCAGATAGTGAACTTACAGGCACGCCATGCGTCCCTGGGTCACCGAGGGCTCCTTTTTTACCAGGTGGTCCCTATATAACAAGAACATAGAGATTGAAATCAAAATAGAGAAAACATAGATGTAGATGATTAAGAACTGTAATATTATGGGTGAGTTTTATTTGAGACCAATCCTGTGTGGGTAATAAGAAGTGCACACTGAAATGTCGCCCGACAGTCGGGTTGCCACTATTATTAATATAACAAGAGTTTAATATACGAGATAGCTTCAGTTGAGAAGGGCAGTGACATTTACTTACTAAAATATGTTTTGGTGGTTATGTGATAACCATTTTAACATGGACAATAATAATAAATATCTCGTTTGGTAATACCAAAAATAAACTCTTACCATTCCGCCTTGATTTCCTTGTTCCCCTTGGTTCCCAGCTCTACCCTGCGTAAAGACGTTTAGAGTTATATTGATTGACAATATTGAGCATACTTTTTTGAATTACTGGATTTACCGCCACTCAATGTCTTGACAAACATTATATTATATTGCTTGCCTAAAGACCTCTTCCTAATAACCGGGCTATGTCTTCGAGTTTCTAATTTACTGATACAAAGATACATGTAAAAATGTCTTGTTGACCTTGTTTCATGGAGTTGGTTTCATGACAAGTTCTCATTAAGGCAGTTGTACGTGTCCGTGTTGTACGACTTAGAAAGGGCGGATTCTGCTTCAAATTGCGGAAGAAAGTTGTCTGGGACGCATATGGGGACGATGAAAATAAAGCACCTTAACCTTAACAGTTAATAAGCGATTCAGCAATATGTTTGTCTGACATTATGACATTATACTGCCCTTATACCTGTTTGATTTTTGTTTAGATGACAGCTCATTTTATCAAGGGAATGTCAGCATGTTCTCATACCTTAAAACCATCAACACCAGGATATCCCGTGTCACCTTTAAGTCCTGCTCGGCCCTGGAATAATGTAACGCCAATCGTTAGTCCCATTTTTCCATTAGGCAATCGATGATTCGATATTTACATGCAATAACTTACCACGCCGCCTTCAGGACCCTTGTTGCCAGGATTTCCAGTCTCACCCTGTAAAAGGTTTCCATAAGAATGTATTAGTGCTTGCGCGGTTATTTGACGTTCAACAAAAGCATAGATTTGTTTAATTTTAAAATGCCTTAACTTTCACACTCATACGACAACCCTTCTATTAATTAGAGAATGACTTCAAGGTACCATTGGTCCTTTTAATCCAACGATGCCAGATTTCCCGTCCATGCCAGTGGGACCCTAAAAAAAAGGTTAAGCGAAGTCAGTTGAAAAGAATAGATGTAGCTTATAGAACATAGAAATGAAATAGAAACATCTATACTCAGACCTTTGCACCATTTTTACCAGGAAACCCTGGTATTCCAGGCTGGCCAGTAATTCCCTACGAGACGAAATAGCATATGAGAGTAAGAAATAATTACGTAATAGAAGAAATAGAAGGCTAAAGCATAGTTGCAGTAATATTAAAGTCTGGATTGTACCTTTTTACCAGCAATTCCTGGATCGCCTCTTGGACCATTTGCTCCATCCACACCCTAAGGGGAAAGGTTCGAAAAAAGACTAGTGAAAGATTTGAAAAATAATAGCCAAACTGAAAAGCGAAATAACGTTTTCGTGTTTTTAGTCAAGAGTCGCCGGAATTTAAAAAAAATCAAACTTCATAATTCAGACAGACAGTCTAAAAAAGAAGAAAAATTGAGTTATCTAATCTTCTCGGCGTAAGTTCACTTACTCTTGGTCCACGCCGTCCCAGTCTTCCTTTCTCGCCCATGGTTCCTGATAGGCCCTTAAATAATTCATATAGAAGACAGTAAAAGAATGGATAATGGGTATAAGGTAGCACAATCAAGTACTGAGTAGATGGTTTTGAATCGACATAATGTTACCATTTTTCCTTTGTTGCCCTGCTCTCCTTTCACTCCCTTTCGTCCAGGCTCTCCCTGAATTTAACAACAAACAGGAAATTATTCGATTTGCAGGATAAAAGCTTGATATGAATACGTATTTTTGTTTAGATGGGAGAGTAAAGCGTTCTCTTGTCTGAAATATTACTTCCTCTTTAATGTATGACCAGATAAAAGAATGATGATGATTATGGAGAGAATGGTAATGAAAACATCTATGTTGGTGAGTGACTAATTTTCATTAACATACAAAAACATCATAATAATGATGATGATGATCGTGATGATGATGATGATACTCATGTTGGTCAATGAAAATGCATATATAAAGTGCAACAAGAATAAATATCAAACCTTCTGTCCCTTAACGCCCATCAATCCTAAGCTGCCAGTAGGACCCTAGTAAAACAATATGACCAACATGTTGTGAGATACGGAAAAAGTAATTTCATGCATTGATGTTTGAAGTGCAGTGTAGACGATCGATTTATGCAGTATGTATGTTACCCTACAACTTTTGGCACTACTTATCAGGGAAAATAATTGTAATACCTTTTGATACCTCATAGTGTTCTTGATCAACGCAAATAATCTAATACTTCTTGCCTATTTTATTGTAAGACTTCAATCTAATATACGATTTACCGTAACTCCTCTTAGTCCTATTTCTCCTGCTTTTCCTCTAGGACCACGGTCACCCTATCAATGACATAACTCAGTTTAATACTTTAATTTTAGCACTATTATATGTTAGTCAACCCATCCTAAAAAGATCTTTAATAAATCCCTAAGCATACGCTTTAGTTGTCCATTAGAACTAAATATAAAGAATGGAATATTACCCTATGGCCGATTACACCTGCTGGGCCTGGTGGTCCTTGGGCTCCCTTGAACAAAAGTAATAGATTACAACAGTTACTAAGTTTTATTTGTATTTTCATTAACATAGACCGACAATAACGAAGTAATATAGGTTTAATCTAAACTAAGATTACTCACAAGCTTTCCAGGGCTGCCAGTTAGACCCATGGGTCCAGAATCACCATAAAATCCCTTTAAGAGGAAAAGTATTTCATGAGAGTCCATAAAGCATAAAAAATAAAAACAAAAATGGCAAGGACGACAATAGAACCAACAACATCGAGTGCTGTACATATACCTCCACGATTAATTCACGTTAAGATACTAACCTTCTCGCCTTGTTTTCCTTGAAATCCCATCTGTCCAGGGATGCCCTATATTCATATCAACATAACTAAATTCAACATTTATGTCCTAAAAATAAATTTGGAAAAAATATGACGATAAGCATGCACTTTTTGCAAACCTGAGGTCCTTCAATGCCTTGTAAGCCTTGTGGGCCAATGATTCCAGGGTTACCCTTATTGAAACACGAATGACACCATTAAATAAGAATAGCCAGTGTGCACAAGCACAAAGCATGATGAGAAGCCGAGTACTTACGCTTCTTCAGCTCCTCTAAAAATCCCTATGACAATTTTTCCTTCGATATTTTATATGTAAATGTGAGTATTTCAACAGAGGAAAATAACAGAGTAAGGTTTTTCTCATAATTCTATTAATTTCCTTGTTCTGATTTGTGTAGTACTCGGTTTTCCTTCAAGCTTTGTCAAGGGGATTCGTGCTCGTGCACATTGGCTATCAAACGATCTCTATTTAAATCTTAGACACAAAGTATAAAATTGGCAAAAGTAAATAATAATTATAAGGTGAGATTTAACGAAGTACGATTTTCCACTTACCTGTTCACCCATTATTCCGCGGATTCCTTTTTTACCTTGCAGACCCTAAATGCAAGGACAAAATAAAAAATTTACTAGGACAATTTCATTTAATCAATGCACACAGTATTTCACGTTTGAAAATCATCTTATCTATGCTACATCAAAATCAATAAAGGTTGCACAACCTATAGAGGTCATCGGCTGATCTGCTGTATTTTACATACCTGATGTCCGGCATAACCAGTGTGTCCTTGGAGTCCCTTTGGTCCCTTTAATAAATAAAACCCTGGTTAACTCGATAAAACTACCTTATGTTCAATCTTATACACAAATGAATCTAGATTTCTAATTCTTATTGGAATAACATTACTCCTTTATCGGCTGGGCGCTTATGAACGACTCTTTAAGTGCATGCGTGCGTTTGGAACGTTGAGTGCCGTTATTCTCTGTAGCCTTCTCTGGAGCTGGCTTTAAGAGATCGTGGCAAGACGTACAACTTACCATCTCACCTGGTGGGCCGGGGGGTCCGCGAGTTCCTCTAGGTCCTGATTCAGCCTTTGTTTTCATATGGGGAACGAAGAGATATGAAATTAAATGTTGAAAAAAGCTTATTCTTATTAATTCCAAGATCTTAATACTAATGCTATAAGTCGAATTAATTTGATGGAGTGTTCAAGTACACTCATTACAAAAATACGTACCTTCTCTCCTTTGGCTCCTTCAAACCCCTTTTCGCCTTTAGGCCCTATATGACCCTGAGACACAAACCTCTTGTTAGTACATGATGGAAGGTCTAATCAGTGTTCTAAAATAACTGGCATATCTATCGCGTTCTGATAGGTTGAGAGCGCGTGCATTATGGAAAGAAAAAAAGAGCACACGCGCGCACTTTCTATTCCGTCAGTCGTGTCCAAAATAACAGCTACTGTAGTTTGTATTTTGTTAAGAAATAAAATCTTGCTTAATGTGTTGCGTAAAGTTACGAAGCTCATGAGGATTGGCGGACTCTCGAGAAATATTGAGAACCAGTCCGTTCGCGCTTTGTTCAGTTTTCCTAACATTTCTCTCCTCATCATAACACTTCTCTTGTACTTTATAGCTGCACGCAGCATGCATACACGTTTTCTATTTGTTCAATCATGATGGTGATGACCATGATGATGAATGAGTACAATAATAAAAGAAAGGTTATGTGATGAACGAAGTCCTTCACTTTACTCCAACACTTACCACATGCCCAGGCCACCCACGTTCACCAGGTCGACCAGGATCTCCTCTTGGTCCCTAAGAAACACCACACACGCGTATAAAATATGTAATGACGCATCATAAAATCAATCAACTCGGGAAACTAACCCTTATGCCAGAAGGTCCTTTCTCGTTGATAATGTTGCGAGTGGGGCGGGGATCCTTGAAAATAAACAAACAACAGCAACATTGATTATTTCATGATGATGTTAAACCCCGGCCTGCTTAATCTAGTAAATCAAGGAAGTTAAAAAGATTGAAGAAAAAAAAAAAAAAAAAAGAATGGCATGACAGTTTTTGTACACATTCAAGAGAATGACCAACACTCCCATCCATTCATCCGTCATTTTTTCTCCATTTTATTTTTTTAACATTTACAAATTGAATATTGCACTATAGTTGCAATTCAATATAATAGTCTAGTATCTAATACCTACTGTTGGTATAATTCTAGGGGTTGGCAGGATAATATCTGGTCCTTTAGGGCATATTGGATATGTTTTAGCACAGTGTTYAGAAACTCCATCAGATCCAATCATCAAGGTTAGCTCGCAAATGTTTTCCTGGAAAGGAACAAATTAGAATGAACATTATTCAAGAAGTACTGTTCGTTTAGCAAGCATTTAGAACTGGGCATTGCTGAGTATATTTCTGGCTTCAACAGCTTCTGTAATGAATTTTGTTTTCCTCTCATTCCTTTTTTTCTAGTCCCTTTTTTCCATTTCCTCTTCTGTTTGTCACTTAATCTTATATCATTATATATATATATATTTATTTTAGATCATTCTCATATCATATCATATCATTTTATCTGATGAACCTTTTCTTCGATAGACGAGACTCGAGACGAGAACAAATAACCTTCTCTTGAGGCATCAACTATTTACTTAGCCATTAACGTAACATTATATTGATATACTGACCCTGACATCCTCTCTCGTAGGTAAGTTTGGTGTTACAGTCACAGCGATTCTATCCCATGGAGGCAAGTCCGATGACCTTTCAGGAAATGGTATTCTTTGTACTGTCCTGCAGTCATGGAGAAGAAGCTCAAGACCTCGATAGATGATAACAAATTTTTGCCATTCTTCAAAGACGTAATCCGGTTTGTGTATTCCAAGAATATTTTCTCCTTTTTGGAACGTAACTTGTCCTTTACTAAGCAGAAGACTAAATAAGGTTTCAGAAGAATTAGCCGATTCAGATTTAACGCTTACGTTAAAGGAATTGATTAGTTTCGAATTTAACGTAAAAAGAAGTGAAAATTCTCTGCTGGTGTCATTTTGGGTAAAATAATCTGGGAGTTTCAAAGAAAACGTTTGCGAACGTTCCAAAGTAACTCCATCTGGATCTGTTTCTCTCCATCCAAAGGCTTCAGGAAGATCGATAGCTGTAAGAAAAATAACGTTTGCATGTCAGTCCTTTGCGCAACACATCAATAGACAATGTCATAGTGTGAGTATAGACCCCTTAAACTGATTTCCAATCCGTGGGGCAATTAAAGCAAAAGAAACCCCTTAAAATAAAATCTTTTTCGATGTTTATATATTATTAATTGGTTTGACTCCCAGGATTTAGTGCAAGGGGTCTTTATTCAACGTAATAAGTACAGGCTAGGTGAGAAAAAAGAGGCCGGGGGAGAG